GCGTGGCCCATCCCATCCTCGGAGCTTGGAGCCGAGTTCCTGGCAGGGAAGCGGCTGAGGCTCAGCCCGGGGGTGGTGACGAGCTCATGGAGCCCCTTGTCCCCTCTAGTGGCCTCCAGCCCGCCGCGGTGGGAGATCGGGCTCTACGCCGCCGGCGCCTTGGCACTGCTGGGAATCGCAGCCATCAACCTCTGGAAGCTCTGGCGCTCCGGCAGCTACCCGGCCCCTTCCCCCTTCCCAAACTATGACTACCGGTACCTGGAGCAGAAGTACGGAGCGGCGTATCCGGACGTCAGGCACAAGGTAAAAGGGGGAAAAGTCGAGATCGGTCTCCTCTCCTTCCCTTTATAGCATGCAGGACGCTGGAAGGGTGAAAATATCTCCTGGCTCCCAGTGGGAATGGCCGCGGGCAGCGCCCTGGTGCCGGTGGAGCGTTTTGGGGGATCAGTGGAGCCGGGAGCTGCGGGAGGCACTGGGCTCGCTGCCGCAGCAGCTTGAGGCCAGGCGGGAGCCGGGAGGCGTCCAAAGAGGGGCCGGAGAAGCCCAGCTGGAGGGACGGGATGGCATCGCCTGGTTTCCTTTCCCTGGCAGCGAGGGCTGGCCCCGGGCTCGCAGCGGACGCTGGGTCAGAGCACTGCCAGCCGCAAGAGCAGCCTGAGGGCAGAGGACACCTTGGAGAGCATCCAGGAGCTGGGCAGCCTGGAGCTGATGGGCAGAGACCTGGGACTGGCCCACTACGGCCCCCTGAAGAAATCCATCTCGGCCGACTCCCTCAACTCCATCTCGTCCATCGGGAACAACTTCGGGCAGGATTTCATGGTGGGGCAGGTGGAGGTGTCCATGGAGTATGATGGGAGGGCGGCCGCCCTGCACGTGACGCTGCTGCAGGGCAAGGACCTGCTGGAGAAGGAGGATGCGCGATTCGAGTCCTGCTTCATGCGGATCAGCCTCCTCCCGGCCGAGCAGATCGTCGGCATCTCCCGGGTGAGTCCCCCCAGTCCCCCACAGACCCCCGGCATGGATCACAGGGCCTGGGAGTTTGAGTGGAAGCATCTCTTGGGCACACTCCCCAAGGCAGGGGTGGGGGTTTGGGAGCAGGGAGCTCCAGACACATTGGATGTGGTTGGCATGGGATTTTGGGGGTCTCAGCTTCCTAGGACAGTGACTGGGGTTTGGGAGCAGGAAGGTCTGAGTGCATCAGGACTGGATGCGGTTGGCATGGGATTTTGGAGGGGGGTGTCCTAGGTGGGTTTGCACATCAGAGGCTTGGCAGAGGCATCTCCCCTTTGGCCGGGATTTGGGCTGGCTTTTTCGTCTCCGAGCATGGCTGGTGGCAGGTTTTCCTGCTTGAATTGCCCTGCTCCAAGCACCAGGGATGCGGTGGGAGGTGGAAGAAGTGGCCTGGGGCGGGACTTGGGGGGCAGTGGCAGTTTGGGCCGGTGCTCTTGGTGCCTTGCTATGGTCCCACAGCCCCCTGAGTCCCCACAGCCCCTGCAATCCCTCTCCCATGGCAGATCCAGAGGAGTGCCTACGCTGTGGCCTTCAACGAGCGCTTCTCCATCCCGCTGGACCCGGCAGCGCTGGAGGAGAACAGCCTGCGCTTCTCTGTCTTCGGCATCGACGAGGATGAGAGGAGTGTCAGCACCGGCGTGGCCGAGCTCAAGCTCTCCGACCTGGACCTGGCTGCGCGCCCCTTCAACGCCTGGCTCTACCTGCAGGACATGAGCAAGGTGAGCCGGGGCGGGGGGTTGCCCCATCTCCCACCTCAGGTGGTTTCTGGGGGGCTCCCAGGAGTCCGTGGGTGACGGGGCGTTGTGTCCCACAGCCTGTGGACACGGTGGGGGAGATCCTGCTCTCCCTGAGTTACCTGCCCACGGCCGAGCGGCTCACAGTGGTGGTGGTCAAAGCCAAGAACCTCGTGTGGAGCAACGGCAAGGTGACCGCAGGTGAGGGGGCCAGAGGAGGCCGGGTGGGCACGGGGGGGCCCATGGTGGGCTGGGGGGCGTGGGGGGTTTGTCCTGGTTTGTGCCACTCTGACTACACAGATCTTTACTGGAGTGGTTCCTGTTGAGGAAGGGCCACTAGAGAGGGTCCCCCGCCTTTCTCCACATCCCTGGGGACACATGTGACTGACCCTGGGGCCTCTCCCCCACCTCTCGAGCAGATCCCTTCGTCAAGGTGTACCTGCTGCAGGACGGGAGGAAGATCAGCAAGAAGAAGACAGCGGTGAAGAGGGGGGACACCAACCCTGTGTTCAACGAGGCCATGATCTTCTCCGTGCCGGCCATCGTGCTCCAGGTCTGGCCCAGCTTTTATAGGGGTGGGGGGCACATCCCATCGCTCCTCAAGCTCCCCAAACCCTCCAGTGGGGACTTCCAGGAGGATGAGGGGTTCTGGGGGGATGCTGGGAGCTGTGGGGGCCATGGGTGTGCAGGGATGGTTTGGGGGTGTTATGAGTGGGGCAGGGCGTGGAGCAGACATGTGGAGGGGCTTT